AAAAAAAAAAAAAAAAAAAAAAAGTTCAGAACATACTATAAGTAGTAAACATTTAGCTATACTCAGAAGGGGAGGAAGTCCTTGATGTAAAATGTTTACACGAGTGTTAGATTGGTGCTTTCAGCACAGTAATGGAGATATTTATTCAGTTATAGATCTATTATATTAGAAGGTTATAAATGACTTAACCAGTTTATTGCCTAAATATTTTAATTTGATATAGAAGTCTTAACTCACAAGAAGGCTGTTTAACAAGTATGTTTAATTTTCTAGTATTCATTACAATATTTTGCTAGATTAATATATGAAAATAAGTTCACATTTGGGTTAATATATTAAAGTTGAAATAAATACACCACTTGGATAAATATTTTATAAATTTTATATTCCTATTTTGTGAATCTTGGATCAAACAAAATGTCCTTTTTCAATCAGACACCCAACATGTAATACATGTACCAAGCAACCTTACTATCCTTTGCCTATTCAGTAGCACCAGAGTGTATGAGTAATATCAAGATTTTTATATACTGGTAAAAGTGACTTCTTAGTCAATATAAACAAAGGAGAGCCTCTCTCATCTTAAATCATTTTTATACAATTATTACCATTAGCTAAGTTTTATTGATAAGAGTAATGGGGTTTCTGTTTTAAGAAACAGCAACAGTTTTGTTATAATATTAAATACCACTCACTAATAACAACTCCAATATTGTCCTACAACTTTAAAACTAATTGTCTTGACATAACCACCTTGTCTACCTCATCCTCAGCCAGATTTATAAGACTCTTAAATCATGTCTCATACTTATTTCCATGCTGTGCTGTTGTGTATAATCCAGCCCACATTCCTTCCTTCCTGACCCAAACCTTTCTGCTGTACCATTGTCATTACCAATAGTTGTGCCCCTTTGAATCTCAATTTCTAATATTCTTAACAACTGATCCTTTCTGTCTTTTAAACTTGCCCTATAGAGTAGTTCCAGACTTTTTCTCTATGCCTTTGCCCTCCTTGTCTGTCCTTCCTTTCTTACCCATTCCAGATTACACAGTACAAAATAATATTCTCTTGTCCTTTTTCCTTCTGTCAGCTTTATCCACTAATCCTCAGCCCTCATTCTACTGAAAAGCATTACAGAAAAATCATACAATTAATTTTTAAATTTATGGTCACATACTTCAAATGTGCATCAGCATTGCTTAACAATGCTTACTCTGCCCTGTATAATTGGCATTACCACATTTCCAGAGTATTACTACATAGCAATACCTCTTTCCTTTAATCCTCTACATTTTAGCTGGTGGTCTCACCTCAAAATTTTCTCGTTTTTACCCTGAAGCCTCACATGTTTCCTGCATCAGTAACCGCATTTGCTGATTCTCCCTTCCTCCAGGGGCAGATTTGCTTCCTTATTTAAGGACAGTCAGTCACCTGACTAGTGCTCTAAATCCTGTTATCTCTAATTTTTATCCTCTTGTTTTTACAGCCATGTCTATTAAATAAGTACAGTTTTGTCCCCAGAATCTGAATGCCCCAGAACTCTAACAACTCAGAATCCAAATGAAAAATTCAAGCAAATTTTACCCAAAATCTGAACACTGCTTTGGAATCCAAATGTGTTTGTATTGTATTCCTAGCGCTTGGGCCACCCCTATCCTTTGTCTTTCAGTTCATTGTCAGAAGTGCAGTGAGAGCATCTTATGTGATTTTCACTGCTAATTTATGCTTTTGTGCCTATTTTTTTTATAATAACAACTAAGTGTATTTTCCATGGGTCCTTTTGAGCCTTTTGAGCCAGCTCTCCATGGGTCCTAAAAAATGTAGTGAGGAAAATGAGAGTAAGAGGAAAGCTACTTGAGCTACAATTGAAGTTAAGAAAGATCTTATCGCTAATCATGAAAGCGGTACACACATGGCTGATGTCACTACTGTGTTGGAGATGTCTAAACCAACTGTACAATTCTGAAAAATAAGCTATCAAATTAGCTGATGTGACAAAAGGGGTTGCAACGCTGATGTCTAGGAGATCGGAAAGTGTGGAAGAGATGGAAAAACTCCTCTTAGGTTGGATTAATGAGAAACACTGGCTGGTGATATGATTTCTGAGACGAGTATTTGTGAGAAAGTCAAGGTCCTCCAGGATGATTTAGTAAAAGGCATGCCTAATACTAGTGTTCAAAAGAAGGAATTTGAAGCCAGGGCGTGGTTGGAGACTTTAAGAAAAGGAGTGGGATCCATAGTGTTACGCACTCAGAGGCTGTCAGTTCTAATTTGGAAGCAGCAGAAAAGTTTTATAAAGGAGTTTAAGGAGTTTGTGAATAGTAAGGGGTATGTTTCAAATCAAGTGTTCAGTTGTGATGAAACAGGCCTTTATTTTTCAGGTTTTTATATTTTTAATTTTATTAATTTACATTTTTATTCAAATATTATTTATAAATGTATTTCCTGTTAATATCATTTTGAAAATTTGAGTTTGTGGGACCCAGAAATGGATTTATTCAGTTTCTGTTATTTTAAAGGGGAAAAACTGTCTTGGAACTCAAACGATTTGGAACTCGAACAGGGTTCTGGAATGGATTAAGTTCCAATTCCAAAGTATCACTGTAAATAAAAGACCTTTCCTTGACGTATGTTCCCCTCAATGTAATTCTCTACTCCCCTTTAGGAAGAACATACCAAAATGTTCTTCTGTAGTTACCATCTCAACTCACTTCCTATTTGCTGCTTTCCTTTCCTCAGTGCAGCTTCAGCCTCTATTTCATCAAAACTACTTTTTGTTTGCTTTTTGAGACAGGTTTTCACTCTGTTCCTCTGGTTAGAGTATAATGGTATTGTCATACCTCACTGCAGCCTCAAGCTCCTGGGCTCAACCAATCTGCCTGCTTCAGCCCCCAAAGTAGCTGGGACTACAGGTGTGTACCTCCATGACTGGCTGGTTTTTCTAATTGTTTTTAGGCACAGGGTCTCTCTCTTGCTCAGACTGGTTTCAAACTTCTGACGTCAAGTAATCCTCTGGCGTGGCCTCTCAGAGATGCTAGCATTACAGGTGTGAGCCATTGTACCTGGCCCCAAACTACTTTTATCAAAATCACCAGTCATTTATGTTGCCAAATCTCATCTCTCTCTTAATCTCTCTCAGGCAAATTTCACACTTAAAAGCCCCAGTGGGCACGTATTTGTCACTCCTCCCCCTTGTCTCTTTCCTGGCTTCCCTTTTACCTCTTACTGTGGGCCTCATGCCTAGTCGCTCCTTATCCCTCAATGTAGTCTGTCTTATGTAATTTCATGTAGTCCCATGTAATAACCATCTCTGTGTTGATGATTCCCAAGTAAGTATGTAAAAGTTCTGACCTTCACTTTGACATCAGAATATATAATAACTGCTTTTAATTAACAAGCATCTCAGCTCTCAAGAACAACTTGTGATTTATCTTCCTCCACATTCTTTCTCACTACCAGAGAGGAAAAAAAAATAAATCATGTCCTCCTGCCTCACAGTCTCTTTTATCTATCCAACTGTTCAAGCCAAAACCTGAAATTAATTTTTGGTTTCTCTTTTTTCCTCACCCAAACAGTAAATTCATCAACAATTCCTATAGATTGTATTGCCAAAATAGAGCCCACATGTGAATACTTTCTGCTACGTCCACCATCTCTTTGACACTGTCACCATTATTTCTCACATAGACAATTTCAACAGCCTCCTAAGTGGTTTTCTAGCATTCATACTTGACTTTCCACAACGTTTTATTCAATTAGTAGCCAGTATCATCTTGCTACAACATATATCATGTGCCTCCATTATAAAAACTCAGCAACATCATCCTATTAAGCAACCATTGGGTCAAAGAGCTCACAGGGAAAATTAGGAAATACTTTAAGACAAAGAAAAATGAAAATGCAACATTCCAAAACATGTGATAGAGTAAAAGCAGTGCTCAGAGAAAAGTTTATAACTTTAAATATCTAAATGAAGAAGGAAAAAAGATCTCAAATCAGTAACCTAACTTTATACCTTGTAAAAGTTAGAAAAAGAGTAAATTAAATTCAATGCTATCAAAAGGAAGGAAATAATAAAGATTTGATTAGAAGTAAATAGAAAAGGGAAAAATTAATTAAAAATGGTTCTTTGAAAAGATAAAAAAAATGACAAACCATTAACTAAGATACACAGAGAAGATTTAAAGTACTAATATCAGAAAGAAAACTTGGGGATATTATTGACCTTTTGGAAATAAAAAGGATTATGAGAGAATACTGTGAAAAATTGTATGCCAGCAAATTAGATAATGTAGATGAAAAGAGTAGATTCCTAGAAACACAAAAACACAGATTCAAGAACTAGAAAATGAGCATATCTGTGACACATAAAGCAATTGAATTAATTGAATTGATTGAATTAATAATTTAAAACCTGCCAACAAAGAAATTCTACCATTCAAAGAATTAAGATGAGTCCTCAAATTCTTCAGAAAATAG